TAAATTTTCTTTTCTATATAAATCGAATTAACTTGATTCATCATCTCCTGAGCATTAATTCGTTAGAAAAATTAGCCCGGCCTCCTGAACATTAATTCGTTAGAAAAATTAGCCCGGCCCATAGGGCATCACGGCCCACTTATCTAGTCATTCATTTGGGAATTGTGGTGGGGTTGATCCCTGCCCGCCTGCCTGTTATGATGAGAAATAATATCAAAACATGAAAGCGTAGTTTGGAGATAACAACAACGTACGTGCTGCTTGCTATCCATAAAATATTGGAGGAGGGCAGTCCACCTCTGGTTCTTGATCCCTCCGCGCCCACTGATGTCACGCCACGTTTTCGTGGATACTTCATTTGAATCATTTTCTGTCTTTACGGGCCAAAAATTTATTTATTTATTAATTATTATTTTATCCTTTTTCCCTTTAGAAAATGAGTTTGGATAATAAGTAAACTCTAATTAATAGTAAAAAGGAAGATGGCAAACTCTCTCTGCTTTAGGTGAATTAATAGAATAGTTTGGTTCTTCAAACTGAGGAAGGAGTAGCGGTGAAGAATCGAATAGACCCCTTACTTACTCCATTCGCTTTTTGTTATTACTATAATAAATTAGGGTATTATCAGGGGGGGTAACAGTAATTAAAAAAATGTGAAATAGTGATAAATTAGGGTATTATCAAAGGGGGGGGCATAAGTAACAGTAATTAAAAAAATGTGAAATAGTAGTAGTAAAAATCCGAGAGGTAAAACCGTAAAAGAGAGGAGATAGAAATTTGGGATAGATAGATAGATAGGTAGGTAGGTAGGGATTGAGGACGAAATATATATAAATCGAACAATATCCGACTGGACTGGATGTGTGGTGATGCTCCAAAATTGAAATAGAATAGAAACAAGAGAAGGAACTAGATTACCCATTTAGACTAGACGGAGCGCGATGGGCACGAGTGGGGTGTTATCGTCGGGAGCCGCCGCAGCCTGTTCGGCTTTCCCTTGCACAGATATCACCAAATTCAAATTCAAATCCAATGCCTTATTTTCACCAAATCCAAGGCGTAACTGCTGCTGCTACTCAATTATTACTCCTGCTTGCACTGCCACAGTAGCATCTACATCTTCATCTTCCTCTACGGCAGCAGCAAGTAGTACTAGTAGCAGAGGAAGAAGAAAAACACTAGTTTCATTCTCGGTGGCTTTACGGTCCAACAATTCCGCAACCATGGTGACAGAAGATGAGGAAGAGGAAGCGAAGAAGAAGATTGGAGCGAAGGTTAGGGTGAAGGTTCCGGTGAAGGTTTACCACGTGCCTCGAGTGGCGGAGGAACTGGATCTGTGTGGATTGGAAGGTGAGGTGAAGCAGTACGTGAACCTGTGGAAGGGGAGGCGAGTTTCAGCTAATCTTCCTTACAAGATTCAGTTTGTCCATTCAGGAGGAGTCAAGTTCTTTGCTCATCTCAGAGAGGATGAGTTGGAATTCCTTGATTGAACTATCCTATCCTCATTTCCTTGCCTTCTTATATATCAATCATCATCCAATGCAGGCAGGCAGGCAAATACCTCTCTTTGCTCTTCCTTTTATTTTCATAATAAAATATGTATGTTTTTGTTATAATATGAATGATGTGTATATACATATGTTCTTCTTCAATCCAATCAGTTTTACTTGTTTATCACTTCACAATCGTCATCGTCATCGTCATTCCTTTTTCTTTCAATTTAACAATTTTATTATCTGGAATTTCCTTTCTTTGCTTGTTTACTTGCTATTTTGAGGGGGCGTTTCTTCTTTAAAATTCGCCACTGCAGTGCGACATCTGACCTATTTTGCCTACATATACAGGCTTCTGGAAATTATTGTAGTTAGGATCAATTCTAAACTAGCGCTTGAAATGGTGGAGCTCTTATACTCCCAACTTATAGGGTGTGTTTGGCTGGAGGGCATTGAGGGAGGGATGGATCAGGAGAGAGGGATGAGAAGTGAAGGATGGGGTGTTCCTTTTGTATGGAAAGAAGGGCTAGGACCCAAGGAAGGTTTGGAAGGATCCCTCTATTCTTTCCAAAGGATTGCCTTTTATCCTTCCCTCTATAGTTAGTCAAACAATTAGATGGATGGGTTAACATCCATCCTTTCATTTTACCCTATTCATCCTCCCCCACCCAGTCCTTCCTGCACAGACCCATAGGGTTGCTCTTCCTGACAAAGCCCTCATTTTTGGAGATGCATTTCAATATGTTGGCAGATGTGCTAGGGTTTCAATCCACTTCGTTTCTGACTTCTCCTTGGGCACTTGTTCCTAGCCTTGTTCCTCTGGTTAGTTTATCTTGAGGTTGCTCCTTGTTGTGTCTCGCCATCTAGTGGGATCTCAATGCTCAATGTTGGTTGGTTATCTTTGGAAAATGACAGCAGGGAATTGATAGAATAGAGGAATGGTGAAGGGTACTCCCAATTTTTTAGGACCACTGAGTAGAAAGGAAAGTCCAGGAAATCAAGGAACACTGACTAGGATGTGTGTTTTTGCTTCATCTGGTATAATAAGGAGGCAGTCATATATTATAGCCATGCAATAATACATATGCAATGCAGAGCATCTATTATTCAGTGCTCCTTGGACAATTAGAATTATCAGTTTCAGTGTGTCACTGTGGTTGAAAAGTGTTTTTGAAAATTTTTTATTTTTTATTTTATATTAAATTAATATATTTTTGATGTTTTCAAATTATTTTAATATAATGATATTAAAAATAATTTTAAAAAAATAAAAATATAATATTTTAATACATTTTAAAATAAAAAATATTTAAAAAAGCAAACATTGTTATACTCCCCTACACAAAAGTGACATCAAATTTGCCATACGCAGTTCTGATTCTTCTATTGCATTTAATCAAATTTGATGCTTTGCTTTTCTAGCTTGTGACAATTTTCAATTAAAAGCTGTTTGCTATTGTACAGCTCTGACAGAATTAACGATCACTAGTATGGTTCTTATTGAACTGAAGATCAATTAAATATTTGTACTGTGGTTTTTGGATCTTTCGTAGACCTCTGCCCTGCCATTTCTTTCATCTTCATGCTTTGCATTTTTCTTTGAATTGAAGATCCGCTAAAACATAGTTTTCTCCATGAAATGAGCTGTGGACTTATTCTCTTAGCATTCTTATGGAGGCTGTTCATATGTTTTGGATTTGGTGTCGAAACACCAAAGGTCAGTTGCCTGTTTGTTACTGTTTACCAGTAATATTACTCCAACTTTTGTGGTGATGTGAAATTTCTTACATTTTACTGAAATTTTAACTTTTAAGACGAGGAACTTATTGAGGGCATGCAATCCGTCCGCTATATTGTTTTGAAGGCTAATCTCGATTGGTTACTTTATATCGTGACTTGTAGCAGATGACCTTTATGTCGGTCCCTGGATCCCAGTTCATGGGTAGCTTTGATCCCGGTGAATAAGTAAAGTTAGGTCATAGTCATCCCGCGGAGGTGGTTGTCCAATTTGCCAGTTAAATGCCATGCAACTGAGATTGATTGTGAATGTCAAGCATATGATTTGTCCTGTTTGACTAAGCCACTAAATCAAGCAATGATGCTTCCTAAACCTTTGATTTTTTTTTATTATTATTATTAAGAATAGCCACACAGTTAGAAGAACGTAGAGACAACAGACTTGTAAAAATCCAAAGAAAATTCGTGAATTTATTTACCAAAAAAAAACTCATATTGCATCCCTTGCACAGAAGATCCATGCATGGGAACCATATGAATCAAGCTCTAATTCTCTATACAGGATAGCTGTTTCCAAACTGGACCAGCTCTCAAAATGGATTGTCAAGCCCAAGGGCCCAAGCAAAATAGATCAACATGGGACGAAAGACGCGAAATCACAACAGAACCAAACCAAATCAACCAACCAATCAGATAATAATAATGATGATGATTACGACAGAAAAATAAAAGGCTGTAAATTTTAAAAACCTAAAAAGGAAGAAACCCTTGGTGAAACCTTAAAATCAACAACACAAAAAAAAATCAAACGACTTCAAGATGGAAATCTGAAGAAACAACTTGGCTGTTGATCTTTTATTCAAGCCTCTTTAGTTGAACCTGGTCGAAGGAGATGAAGACGCATAGTGAAAAATATTTTTTTTTATTACTCATAGAACCTGGTTGAAGTAGAAGAGGAAGAGAGATTCAAGCCCTCTTGAGTCTCTACTGATCAAACCCAAACCTAAGGTCTGCTTGTCTCTGCATCTTCCTCTACTTCTTCAACTCAGCCTCTCTCGATTATTTTGCTATAAAAGCTAATAAAGGGTTCTGGGTTTTTTTTTTTTTTCTTGACTAGATTGAAGCCCTTGGAGTAAAAGCTGTGTTTTTGGTCCTTCTCCAACTCAACCTCTCTTGGTCATTTTGCCACAAAAGCTAATCAAGGGTTCTAGGTTATTTGTTTTTCTTGACCAAAGCCAGGCCCTCTGAGATCTGGAGTGAAAGCTGTGTTTCTGGTGCAATAAGTCAAAATAAAAGAGAGAGGAATAAAATACGCGGTAGGAACGTGAAAAAAGGTACCAAAAAAAAAAAATTCCTTCCAAAACCAATCAAGCTTTCCGGAGCAAGGGGAAAATCATAAGTACACTGTTAAAGTCCACGGTAAAATACCTCATCATACACAGTACTGATTCAATTTAATTTGCATGCATCGGGTACTGATCTTGCTGCGTGATTCTTTGAAGCTTACGCTGTGTAATTGCTGGTTTTGTTCTGGCTGGCTTGGGTCCAACAGACCTCCGAAGTTAGGCTTTCGAAACAGGGCATGTTGGTCCAGCACCCATATGGGACCTTCTGGGCCCCTGGCAGGGCCTTTACTCGTGCAACTGGCTAAGCCAGATGTAGATAAAGTCCGAAACAGCCGCGCGCACAAAAGGCCGAAAAAGAGCATGCTGTTCAGTAAGAAAAGAAAAGAGAGAACAAAAGCGGTGGCTAGTAGCCGCAACATATTCGTACACGCTTAAAACCAGTTTGCTCTATTTCCTCTTTCGATAGGTATTCAAAAAAGAATGAATTGATACAGTGCCAAGGTTACAATCTGTTTCCTACATGTTGAGTGGGTAAATCCTTTTCCACATTGAAGATTGTCAGGACTGCAGCAGCCGATGGCAGATGGAGATACACCTATGTTAGCTTTCAAGTTTCAGTAGTAAATAAGATGGAATCAGCGGTACATGGAGGTCTGGGGCCAACCAAGGCAGAAAACTTGGAGTATTAGCCGATGTATGGCAAGCAGTTTTAACTCCTACAAATGCACACTCTGCTCCTCCCATAAAGAAATCATAATCCAAACCATGTAGGTTAAAAACAACATTCACAGTCTGCCCTCACAAGAAACGGTGTTTGGTCATGATACTTCTTGAAGAGCTAGATTTAGCTCCTGGGCGTACTTCGCAACTGAACCACCTTTCCTATTGAACAAAACAGAGAGTAGAATAAAGGAATCCAGGCACAGTACGTTGGGATATCAAAGCAGCAGTTTTCAAGCTAGCTAAGAAAATTGAAGCTACCTTGTAAGGGTAAGCAGGCAACGCTTGACTTTCTCAAGCTCTACAAAGCAGATATTGCAACGTTCCAACCTGTGAACCATATAAGCAGCGTCTCAAAGCAATTTTTGTTGTGTGCATAGAAAAGACAGTTGCAAACATTACAAAAGGTGCACACCTTTGCTCTGCTTCAATATCCACACCAACAGGTGTTGATGCTGATAGAGTCGAATAGATCATTGAACCAAATGTCCTGACCAGCTTCAGCAGCATGTCCAGTGAAATGCTTGAGTGCCTAAATACAAGATAGTTTAGCAATAAATCCTCGCTATTGGCACTCTCTTTTGAAAATTAACAACGCTTGTAGCTGCCCTCTGGAAACTACATTTTCTTATGATGGAAAACACATAGACCAACAGCTGTAAGTTGATTAACTGACAAGTATTACAAAGCACAACCTACCTATCCATGTCACTTCCAAGCAGGTTAGTAAGAAGAGGCAGGAGACATGTGCATATATCCAATGTGACAGTGTCAATTTTATCTGCCACAATACTGATTACATCAGCAAGGACCTGCGAGTTACAGCATATGGAAAGAAACTAAAGGTTAAGAATGAATGTTAAAAGAAACTGTCGCATCCAAATATGCTTATTAAATACAGTGAGAAAAGAGGAGGGAAAGGGGAACTTACAGCGTGGTCAGCCATCTTCTCCATTGCACCAATGGCCCCCTTTACATCATTTCTCTCCCAATATCTATAGACAACCTACAGGAAATCATAGAAAAGTTTCACCAGCCTTTCAATGGCAGCTAGCTGGACGCAAACATATTAACAGAAGTACAAAAGGGAGAAAATAAAAGGGGGGCACATGATGGCTAAATGGAGAATAAATGTAGCATGCAGTTTCCAAGTTCTCATATGTTACAAAAGATAAGAGATGGCCCCAAAACTAAAGAATCTGCTTGGGTCAATGCTGTGTATTTCTTGCAGAAAACAGGTCACACCATTGCATCTGTTCGTTTCTACCATATCAATAAGAAAGTAATAACTCGATTGTGACAACTAACTTGCAGTTGGAAGGGATAAAGCAAGTACAGATAGGAGCTTATAGCCAGCAATTTGGGAGGGTGCTCTGATTGAATCCATCATTATGATAAGAACAAAAAAAAATATGGAGATGCTAAAAGGCAATTTATCAGTTAGGGACAGAAACAAATTACAGTTGCAATTTGAGGTACTTGCATTTATAAACATGCATAGTAACTTTATTGGTAATGAATTTGTCTCCATCTCTCATGTGGAATTATGTCAAGAAATGCCAAAACAAAGATGCCAGTGTTTACTGTCACCAGCACTCCCCTGCCCTTGAATGGGCAAAATATTACATTTATGTCTGCACTTGTCACACACATACACACTCACTTATCCAGCTAAGTCACCTGTAACTTGGCAGAACGAGACTGCATAGAGCTGACAAATTGATCATGCTGTTCCATTAAGTCTGCAATAACATCATCGTCACTAGCAAAAACCATTTCCTTTTCGATGGATGGGGCACGTCCTCTCTGTTTAAACTTCAACATATTAACAGATGAAAAAGGTGTATAAATCAGCATCTTTTAAGTGAATGAAATGAGAAATGAAAAGGGTGTATAAATCAGCATCTTTAAAGTGAATGAAACGAGAAGACTTAAACAAGCACATAAAAAATATATTGGAAAACATGAGCTGGAGTAGAAATTACACCCCCCACCCCGCGCGCGGTGTGTGTGTGTGTGTGTGGCGGGTGTGGTGATAGTGGTGGTGATGTGTGGGTGGATGAGGTAAAATTAAGATCCAGAGCAGGATGTCAGGACTCTATTGTTCTAGATGCTTTTATGCCTTCTATGCCATGTGAGAAGCTTCCTCCAGAGAGACCACTACAATTTAGTGCAACCATCATTGTTACAAATTCAACACAAAAAAAACATATATACCCCTACAAAGTTTGTAAACTAGGTGTATCCTCAACTGGAATAAATTAGTACCCCTCCACGTGAACAGTTTATCCTCCATTTTCCAACCAGAAAAATGTCTAGTTATATCATAGGCAGTGCCACTGAACTAAAATGTCATCTTTTTGAGGAAATTGAGTGCATAGAGATATCAGAATTGGCACCATAAAATGTAAAATTGATGTTCTGATCGCAGTACTGATGGAAAAAAAAGTATGGATCGTAAACAGCACATATTTGATATCATCCATAACAGAACAAGGTGAGGGATGTGAAAATTTTCAATTAATAATTGTTTCATTCATACAAGCAAAGATAAAATGATAGATCATTTTTGTACAGAAGATAAAGACCTAGCATCAAACATAATCAAGTAACAGGTCCTTTTCATTTTTATGTCTTTTTGGACATGATATGTTCTGCATAACACTTTGAAAACATGTAATACAGTCCTGAAACCCAAAATACTAGCACATGTCTTCAGGTGATCAGAAAGTTATGAAAGAGAATGAAACAAGTACAAAAGTTGAAATCAAATCCTACCATATTAAGAGGGAGCACATTCACCACAGATGATGTCCCAGCAGAAATGATAGAAGTAGGTCCCTCATAGCTAGGAGAGCTTCCCCTTTTCTCCCAGTTTATCATAAGTGAACGCATTCTTCCTACATATTTAACGTGAAATAGATTAGGCATATTTGCATTATTGACAAACCTCTTATTGCAACCAAGAACAGCAATACCTCCTTTCTGGCTTTCAATGGAGGGTGCATCTCTGTTTATTTTATGTCCTCGAGTCTCACCTGGAAGAAACATTAATATTTTCAAAATTGGAGTCGCGCATTCCATTTCAACTGACAAAAGTGTGAAAAGCATGCCAATCCAAAGCCACAAATTTACCAAGCAAATCAAAGCCCAACTCATGGAGTCAATGAAACATAGAGAATAAGATGGGAATCATGATCTATTGAATGGGTAAACAGCCCTATGATTTCTTCCACCAACACTGCATGAACATCCATATTTCACTCTTCATTTTCAGCATCATCCTTGTCCATTTCATGAAACCACCCTTCCAACAGCCAAAAAGGTGGATGCTTTACTGGATTCTTATTAATGTTGATTCAAGCTATATAAGACATGTTTCTTCTTGAATCAGATATCAGTGTTGACATGATCACTAACGGCAATGTATTAGCATGATTATCAGCCATTTTGAGAAAGGTGATGAATTTTAACTAGCTTAGGCTGCCATATAAAAGTTGCAAGAGCTGTTTTGATCAGCTAAACCAACCTTGGTGCCTTTTTCATTAAACTAAGGTATTCCCGGCATTGTCATTCCAAGCATCTTAATAAAAAGTCAGATTCTTTGTCATTCTAAGCATCTTAAATAGCAATGATTGATCATAGTTACTTGAATGTAGATCTGAAATATGGGGTATAGAACTAAGCATATTTAATCTCTTTGAAAATAAGCTAAAAGCAACAGCAGAAAACCTCAGTGGAGTACCAGTAAAGCATTATTTGCTCACTACACATCAATTGCACCTAGAAATTCATGGAACAAGTTTCTCAGTTCTAGCAACCTAGATACTATCAAAATGAAGCCTCTTCTACACCATTTTCAACTGTACCTTACCAAAATATTATCTGTAAACCTTATAGTTGCAGTTGTTTATAAATCAGTCCATGGTAAAGCAAGTTACTTAAAGCCATAAATAAATGTGTCGCTGCCATCCTAAAGAAAGTAAACCAGAAGGCTTAAGTACTTTTTAATACCCTTACCCGTCAAGTTCATAATGGGAGCCAATTCCAAGTCCATTGTAAACCAACTATTCACCACATAAGTAAACTTTGATTTGATAGATTTCTAAGCCAAAAGGAAGGTTTCGAAAGCATTCCCAAAGAATGCAGAAACCCTAAATTCTCATTGCAACAGCCTATCAAATTGTGAAACATGTGTAACAGGTAAACAGCTGAGTAAAGACAGCCATCGGCAACTTTAGGAGCTCAAATCAGACCAGATTCCTTATCTACACAAGGATCCTGCCTTGAAACCTTAATTTTTGTCTTTTGAAGCACTATAACATCTAAAGAAGCAATCAACCATCCCCTTCAATCCTCCGATTAAAATGTCATCATCTCTGTGTTATAGAAAGGAGAGGCTAGTTGATAATGTTGGACTAAAAGACTAAAAACATATAGTGTGCATTTATAATGATCAAATATAAGAAAGAAAGGTTTAAGAATTGAAATGCAACAATCTTACTTCAAATTTCACAAGAAAAATCTTGAGTTCTGATCTATCTGATTATTAAAAGTTATTTCTATACAGATAATAAGCTAAATGACGGAATGGCAACTATGAAGCAGCCACAAAACAACAGCATCATACATATATACACAGACAATGAAAATCAGCGGCAAATAATTTTTTCTTAATTAGTAACACTTACAGATTTCTTTCTGATAACTAGTGGGTGGCTCCAATGTTGAATCTGATTTATAGTTTCCAGATCCAAAAGATTGTTCAGCAGTTGTTAGTCCATGAATCGAACCTTTAACTGCAGGAGAAATATTCCTATCAGTGACACTGATCAGTTCTGTTGCCTTGCAACCTGTGGTCTCAGCAGGCTGGATAGAGGTAGTTGGCTGGTCCATGTCCTCTCTGCTATTTGAAAATTTCCGGAAATCAGTTGTCTTCAAATGCAAAGAAAATGGCATTGTCCTTGCTGCAATATCAATTTCTTTTCTGGAGCCAGCTACTTGCTCTGATCTTGAGTTGGTTCTGGGGACAATTACAGGAATTACATCTGCCTTGTTCAAGACTGGAACATTAACAGCTGAATGGACCCTCATAGAACTCCTCTTTGGGGCTGCTGTGCTGGGAACTGTTATTGGACCGGTAATGGTTGCCTTCAACCCAGTGTTTAAGCTTGCTCTTTGTGGAGTACCAGGTGCACTTCCTGTCACTTCAATTAGAATGTTGAACCAGGAATGAAGAACATATGTCACAATCCAGCTTAAGGAATTATTTTAAATTTTTAAAGAATAAAGTAAAGAGAAAAATAGAATAGCCAAAACCAACAGTGAACCAAGAATTGAAAGATTCAAAGAACAGCTTACTCGGCAAAACCTTTGATTCTTTAGAAAACTCCTTCCCATGATCTGAATTTTGAAAATCTGACAACCTTTCAAGAGATTTTGTTTCCTTTACTAAATCTACAACCCACACCCCTACACAACTCTGATTGTATGAGCAGCCAAGAAGCTTTCCTTCATGAACATTGAGATCTGACAACTTGGACCATCCCACATCCACAGAATCAGGGCATCCTATTGGTTCCCAGGAGAAAACCTAAAAAGTTGGTTGCAAATTTAGTAAAACCAGTAGACCCGGAGAACTACCTCTATATATATATACTGAGAGAGAGAGCTTACTTTTAAACTTTCATGCAATCCACAGAGTAGAGTCCTCCCATCAGAATTAAAGGTCAAACAACGCACTCCAGTTGTCTAAAGGGAGACAGGTTCCACAAAAAGCATTCTCTCATAAGAAAAAGCACTAGAAAAGATTTATGTTCCCAAGTTGACGATAAAAGGTATCTCTTAAGGCATAAAATTACCTCTGGCCCAGCAGAACCTATTAACTCAAAGGTTTCAAGGTCCCAAAATTTTACTGTCCTGTCAGCAGAACCTACAAAAAGGCAACAAATTAAGGTACAGAAAGATGTGAATTTTCCAGGAAAATGCAACTTTCTATTCACAGATACAGATTCCTAGTAATGGGGTTCCAGCAAACATAATCACGCGCCTATAATTTTATATAAAAATAGGTGCACTTACCTATGCATCCACCTAATTCATTTCTTGCAAAATTTCAGTTTCGGATTGACACAGAATTAATGAATACTGCTGGTGGTAATGCTAAAGTTGAAGATATAGAAAAGGTTTCACTTTATGTTTTTCTTACTATTTTGTTTAATCATTCTTTATTGGATATGGAATAAAATATAGAATCATCAATTCAAGACTAAAAAATTCGTTGACTTGTTAGAAGCAAACTGTTAAGGTAAGTGTCAAAATGCACGCTGACCCAGGAAGAATTACCAAGATCTATCACAAATCGTGGATTAAATATGCAATGAAGATCTATCACCTTGGAAAAATATGCAATGAAGAAGACAGCATGTGTTGAAACGTGGATTAAAAATAAAAAAACATTACAGTAGACAGGTAGCTTTTCATGGAATCATAAAACTGACCTGTAGCAAGAAGAAACTCGTGGGGATGAAAATCTATGCACTGAATCTGACCCTCATGGCACTTGAAATCGTGCAATAGCTTTCCAGCAGTCAAATCCCACAGCTGTTGAAATCGTGCACATTGCAGAGTTAGTTAAAAAAAGAATCAAACAAAAGAAACCTGTATGTGCGGTTATCTTAAGTAAAAGGAACTTACAAGTGGTAGACACACTAAATATGACCCTAATGCATTCATCAGTTGCATTGACTAGAGAGACAATTGGGTCCGAACCTGGTCTCAGACCCTTGGCACCAGGCACAGTGTGCAGGGCCAAAATATTTTTGGCTGACTCAACTCTCTTAAATTCAAGTCACCAGGTTGATACGCATCTATTCACTGAATATGAAGACATAAAGAAAAGAAACTGGGTAGCAGAAGTGCATAAAACCATGTGTGAACTTTAAGGGCTGTCAATGTGAGGTCCTTGTGATGCGGACTGGACACAGGACCTTTAGTATTTTCTGGCATGATGTGTGTGAGTGGCTGGGTGTAGGCATGATGTACACCAAGAGAAAGAAAACAGTTATAACCTTTACAGTATTGTCCTCTCCACCGGATACAACCCAGCGACCATCTGGGGTAAATCTGATTGCATTGACCCCTCGACTGTGGCCCTTGTATGTGTGAATACAGCCCTTCTTTCTAATATCCCATATCTTAAGATTTGTGTCCAGGGAACCAGATGCAAAGAACTCTCCAAAAGGGTGAAAGTCAACAGATATGCAATTGGATCTGTGACCAGTGAGTGTGCGAACAACTACAAACAGAGCACATGGCAAGTGATGAATTTAACAGACAGAAAAGATAATTAGTAAGAATCAATAGGAATATACAAGTAAATTCTAGTATAGTAAGAGTTTAGAGGACACATCACAAGCATACTTTTTGCCTCCTCTAAATCCCAAAGCTTGACCGTACCGCTTGCAGCTCCAGCAGCTACTAGGACTTCTGAAGAATCAAAGCTTACTGAATCAATCCCGCTTGTGTGTCCGGACAAACTCTGCATGAAAATATTGGATTAGACGGAATGAAAATCATCAGACACCAGACCAGAAAGAAAACGGCACCAAAAAAAAATCACGAACAGAATCGAGAACTGACCAGTATAGCATTGGGCTTACCAATAGCCCAGAGATTAACCTTGTGATCTTCTCCTCCAGTCACAAGAACCCTGGATGATTTCCTGCCAATCTTGAGGCAATTGACACTCGAAGAATGAGCCACAAATTCCTCTTTTCAAGCAATTTTAAAAGAAATTGTGGTCAAGGCCAACAACAGCAGCAGCAATCACTACTATTATCAGTTAAGCAACAGTTTATTCAACGGAGTTTGTTTATTTATTTATTTATTTATTAAAAGACAGATCTGAAATGAATAAGGCAAAATGCAGATTAAGCAAAAGAACAAAAAGAGTAGCGTGAGCATTGTAATGAGCAGATGAAGCAGTAAAAACAAAGACAAAAACAAAGCAAAATTGAGGAGGATACGGAGCTTGTAGGCGCGTTTAGTAGTCATTGCATTGAGAATTAAGAAGAGAAAAATGGAAGGGTGAATAGAAAACCCTAATAATCGAGCAAATGCCGCAGCACTTGTTTCTCTTTACACGTACAGCAAGTTGTTTAAATCATCATCATCGTCTTCAACCTAACAGAAAAGGGCAAAAAAGAAAGAAAGAAAAAACAGATCTCGTTTAGGAAAATACAAACAATAAATAAAATAATAAAAAATTGCGAGCATATGTCACACGTATGTTAGCTAAAAAATCAAAGCAGTGGTCGGATCGACAGAGAGGAAAGCACATACATTGTGTTGGAGTAGTTGAAAGCTACCGCCTCGCCTCGCCTCCTTTTTGTTTTTTGGTCTGCCTGTCTTTGTCTATGCTTCTTTCTCCGCACTTAAAATTAAAAATTAAAAATCACTTACTAATCAACAGAGCACTGAGTTATGGCGGAGGAGAAAGTTGCAGAATGTCCACCGCACACTAGTAGTAGGGGTAGTTAAGTAGAAGACTAACACCGATAATGAAATGAAATTAATTAAGAAAGAGACTAATTAAGGAATAGTGTTTATTTATGCGAGAAATGGTAATGCTGATGCTGCAGGTTTAGCAGTTACCGGGGAAGAAAATGATAAACACAAGCCACGCACAGAGATGGAATGTAACAGGAGGGGGTGGGACTCAGCCTAGAGTAGCAACCAGAGGCAAGAAATAGAGAAAGGAGAAGAGGCGCTTTCACATTCACAGGAGAGATGTGTCCCTCTCTCGCTCTCTCTGTGCAAGATAATAATAAATAAATAAATAAATAAATACGCTGATAGTTTTTTAACAAATACGAAGACTGGAAGTGGAGTGAATTACTTTCTAAGCGTGCTAATTCAAATTAATCTCAAAGGGTGGGAAATAGACTATATGACGAAATATCAAACAACAGGGAGAGGAAAAAAAAAAAAGGTGTGTGAAAAGTACTCGTCGTCTCAAAGGAGCTGGGACCCAAAAAAATAAACAAGTAGACCCACCTGGCTACAATGCCTCACTGAGCTCAACCGGTGGTGGACCAGGGTCCATCTCCAACTTTACCATTCAGGTCTCCCTCCTTGCCTGAATTCAAATCAAAATCAAAAGGCCCAAAGCATGCCCCGCCTCCACTTAACCTTCTCGTATCTTTCCCACTTTTTTTCATTTTTCTCTTAAAAGTCAATAGGCCCCTGTACATTACAATTATGATTATATTATAATTACAAAGAATACTAGAACAACGTGTTTTGCAGTTTTGCCTCTAATGTTTTCAGTTTTTTTATTTGCTAATTGTAGTTTTAGGTCTATTTATTTCAATTTCCAAACTTTATTTTCATCGCCAGAGCAATTATCAAAAAAGATAGGCAAAAGAGAATGATCTCTTCAGCCACATTTTAATTACAAAAACAAATTAAGTTTGCTGTCAATAGATTTGTTTTGAAGAGAAGTTCAATAAAGATATTTTTATTCTTTAAATATGTCATAAAAACAAGTAGCTTGGAGAATATAGAGCTCGTTTAATTTGATTTGATTTTTCATGTTTTCAAATCAAAAAAATATGAGAGTTTAGATTTATGGAATCAAAAACAAAAAGTTAATAAGTTTAGAATTGGGTTTGAATGTTTTTAAAAACAAAAAGTTTTTTTACTATAAAAAATAAGTTTAGAATTGGGTTTGAATGTTTAAAAACTCAAATCTTGATTTTATAGTTATTAAAGGTAACCAAAACTTGCACGAGAAATGACATGTTGCTTGTCCAAACTAACGGCTCATTATTTTATTTATTAAGAAAATTAGAATGGACTTCATGCTTGACTATTTTTTTTAAAAGTTGCTAATTAATATCCGGTAAGAATATAATATATATTTTATTATTTATTATTGTGAATATTTATATAATTCTTCCAAATTCTTTGTTCTTATATATCTTGATACAAGTGCAGGAAAATAATACATTCATGATCTTTTTATTAAAAATTGCTTCAATCATCATAATAAATTTTTATTTATTTTTCTTAAAAATATATATATTTTTGTAAACATGTGAATACAAAAGGTGATTTTTTTTATTTAAATAATATATTTATCTGATTTTGATGTGTTGTGCAAAAAAATAAATAAATAAAATATTATTTTTTATAAATTTTCAATTCAAAAAAACTTTTATAAAGCAACTCGCACGTTATTATTTAACACACACTTCATACTATTTGACCATGTTATTGATTTTGATTATAAATTATTTGATATTTTGTAATGTAAAAAAAAACACTTTAAAAAATAAATTCAATTATAAAAACACATTCTTAAAGTATCAGCTAGGCACTTCCACAAGATCCTCAGGTCTTCTATAACTACAACTTGCTTCATAAACACATTAAATTATGCATCAAGGGTTAAATAAATAGCAAGGTCCACAACGACTTAAGGCACTTGACTACGACTTATTTGTGCTTTAAATCGATATATATACACACATATTAATTCTTAACTCACACCTCAGTCCATCTTATATCATATAACCTTTTATTTTGTTAGCAGAAGTAAAACCCACCTTGCACCTCGTATAAAATTAACTACTAGAATAAGAATCCTTTATTTGTGATGAAATCTCAAAAAATTTCAAGTAATTTGAGAATAGAATTTTTGGGTTGGATAATCAGTTAATTAATTTATCTTAATAGTCTCATTAATTTAATCTTGGCCAAGATGTTTGATAGTATATATCTAGTGCTTAGTGGACTAAGATAGCTTATAACTAATACCTGCAAAAGATCTCTAAAGAAATTTTATACATCTAAAAACTGTAGGGAGATTAGGATCTAAGATGTTGGATATGACCGAGCCCATGAAGACTGAACTCTTCTCCTAGACAGGACCCAAAAGAGGATGGTCATCTCTTTTGGCATGCTCAAAAGAGAACGTGATAATTTCTTTGGGCGTACCCAAAGAAGACGCTAACTCTAACCAGACCTAAAAGTGGCTAGGTTTGACAGTGCGTCAAGCCTTAGAAATATTGGGTTTGACGTTAGCCAAACCCAAACACAATTGGACTTGGCAGCGTGCCAAGCCCTAGGCATGCCTAAGGAAATGTGCATCCTCCCTTGGGCATGCCTAGAATAATGGCAATCTTTCATTGGCATACCCAAAGAAATAAGGTAATATGGATATGATGAAATATCAAACTTAAAATGTTTAGACTTGGCATTTAACCAAATTCAAGATAACATGAGTTTGGTTGTCAAATCCAAGGCATTTGGACTTGGCAATCAACCATGTCCATTATACTTGAACTTTATAGTTAACCAAGTCCAAAATAACATCGATATAAAAAACATGTAAGATCCAAAATACTTGAATTTAACCATCAGTCAAGTTCAAGGTAACATGGATTCAATAAACATGTCAAATCTAGGATTCTTGGACTTAATAATCCAACAAGTTCGAGGTACTTAGACTTGATAATTAGCCAAGTCGAAGGTACTAATCATCTTTGATTAGCACGCCCAAAAAAATGACCATCTTGATTTAGCATGCTAAAAAAATAACTACATCCTCTCTTGGTACACTTAAGAAAATGACCATCATCGCATGGCACGCCTAAGAGAATAAAGTAATGTGGGTCCCGCGAACATGCTAGACCCAAGGTACTTGAACTTAGTAATCTACTAAGTCTAAGGTAATATGAGTCTGGCAAATATATCAAACCCAAAATCGTAATCTACCAAGTCTAAGGTAACATGAGTCTGATAAATATATCAAACTCAAAACACTTGAACTTGACAGTTCAAAAAATACAAGGTAACAATCTCTTGGCACTCTCAAGAGGATGATCATTCTTTGTTGGCATGCCCAAGAGGATGATAATTCTACCCGGGGCACGCCTAAAAGTATCATAATCTATTTTTGAGTTATTCTCCAATTTATATTTTTTCTCTCTTTAAAAAATATAAAAAAATAAAAAATATTATTAAAAAAATATAACAGTGAAAAGAGAATGTCAGAATGCTCAAAAAATAATTAAATATTAGTTAAGGAGGTTCAAAAGGAAAGCATAAGGGAATACACTCAAACATGGCGGGAATTAGTTGCTCAAGTACATCCTCAACTTTTGGACAAAGAGATGGTCTCAAGTACCATATTACGAACATGTGATGGGTAATTCGGCCTAGCAATTCACTGACATTGTAATAGTGTGTGAACACATAGTGCAAGGCGTTAAAAGTAATGGAATTTCTGAACCCATTGAGAAAAAATACTTCAAAAGAAAAGAGATCAACCATGCTAAAGATGTTTACAAGGGTAGGAAAAACTCATCCCAAAACTGTCACATTCCATCCCAAATTACCAACATAAAAAAACCTGAACCCAAAACATTGCTCACTTCCCCTGTTTCTTCACACGTTTAGGGGAAAAAAAGGTCTACAGTGCCGTTCAAAATGGCATTGTTTTGGGCCTTTTTTTTTTAAATGAACAGTGGATGAAATGATGTTATCTTGGGCAAAACGCACTATTTCATTTAAATGAAAATGACGTCAAACGTGTCATAGTCTAAATCAGTCTTCAATTTATAATTTGTTCAATCAAGTCCTCAATTACAATTTTGATTTTAAAAATTAATTCAATTATTTCCCTGCCAAGTTCAATTGTTGGTTGTCTTTTCCAACTTGATCCTTGGTTTCCCTGCCAAGTTCAATCGTTGGTTGTCTTTTCCAACTTGATCCTTGGTCTATAATTTCTGCAATTTGACTCTCAATTGATTTATATTTTCCTGGAAGATAAATGATTGTCATGACGCTGCACACATGCGACAAAAAGAATGATCTTTCTCTCTTGAATCTAGCCTAGGACAAAAGCTCAGTTTTTATGAGCTCAATTATATCTAACATCTTTGACCCTAGTCTCCTTATATATTTTAGGTGTATAAAATTTCTTTAGGGATCCATCATATTTCTATCAAATATTAATATGGATGTAAATGATATTTATACCTCATTAAATATTATTAGGATAAAATTACATTTCAAGCCTTGCTTTTCACAAAAAAACAAAACTCGTAAGTTATAAATATATTATGAAACCTTAAAATCAAAGGTTCATAATTTTCATTCTCTACTATGTACACACACACACACACACACACAAGTTCATAATTTTCATTCTCTACTATGCACACACATATATATAGATATATTTAGAACAACTCTCTCTAAATATTTTTATATTTTTTTCTTAAAAAAATACTTATTTAAATACTAAAGAATCTCTATCTTCGTTAAAAAAAAAAAAAAACCTTATAAAAATACTAGTCACAAGCTACCTTAACTTACCACATACCTATTAAACATCTTAATTAAAAAAATATAAATGAAACTATTAAAACTAATTAATTAACTAATTATCCAACATATTCCTAAGCTATTTTAGATTTTGCCTTATAGCAAATTGGCTAAAAGCGAGGATAAAAAAGGGCAAAACGCTCCTCTCTGACAAATGCTTTCAAACCACACAGTAAATTCACTTTCTCAGGTCTGTTTTCATTTATGCCAAATTTTAGAAGGTCAAATGAGAAAATATGTACATGTCGGGTTGTAAGGAACTTACAGGAACAATATTTTATCACAATAATAATTTAAAAAAAAACCACAACGCTAACATATCTAAATAGGAAGCAAGTCCCAGATACCCATAACGCAAAGTTACTTGAATAGTTAGCATGCTTAATCATATAATTTTCTACCTTGTAGGATGGAAGTTAGTCATTCTTCTCATTTAAACTATTTTTAAAAACAACGAGTCATAATTCACAATTCAATTTGAAACATGTGCTTTCATGTCTCTCTATG